TCACTCCTGATTGCTGTGCTGAATCCATCAGTACCTTGCATTTACTTTTAAAATTTTCTTTATTTTTGGTTCAATACGATGTTCGAATGTGTTCGAAGGGCACTTTGCATGGTGGGAGGAGTATGGCTCCGAGGGTTAGGCCTCTGTACCTGTGATCAGAGAGTTGCCAGTTCCAGTCTCATCCTCGGGAGAATAGTCACATCTCTGTCCCCTTCCTCCCCAGTTCTGTTTTAGATGTTTGAACAATGAAAGAGAGAGGTTAAATAGAAATGTGACAGATAAATGGCTGACCCTCCCCTCAAACCCCAAACTTCATTCGTTCTTTTTTGTTTTTTTTTGAAGACTCATGGGAAAGCGGTACGTTTCCCTTAATGCATCATGACCAACAGATGTACAGCTTTGATGAATTTGGCGTGAAATGTTTAATTTCACTCAGCTATATGATTATTCAGTATTGCCTGAACACTTTAGCAATTTGGTTTTTTCAAAATGCAATGCTTCCAACAGATTTTAGGGATGAGAGAAACACGTTTATATGGAGAAGCTTGTTCGATTTTTCCCTCATACGTCTCATTATTTTTGGTGAGTTTCCAGTGCATGTGGCAGGAGACGGCATAAGGACCCAGGGTGGGGCTTGGGTACCATCACATGTTGCCATAGTGATTGATAACCAGTCCTTGCCTACAGGTGTCTCTGTTAATGAATCTCAGCTGGCTTTCTTTGAGCTCTGTTTCTTGCTATTTAGGGTTATTTAGAGGGTAAACTTGGGTGGATAAGGAAGGGGAGGCGGGTGGATGAGAGATGGGGAATGTGAGGATGCCTGAGCCTTCAGGGGGTTGAAGACATGTTGGGCCGCCTTTGGTTCATTCAGCCCCTCCTCATATGCAGCAGCCACATAACCCTGGCACAATAGGTCAACGCCCTTATGCCCCTAAACATAACATAATACTTCCTTCAAAAATGACCCTGAGTAAAGCATAAGTGGAGCACAAGTATTCATTCAATTCATTTAATTTTATTTCAATTCAATTCATTTCAATTCAATTTTTATATAGCGCTTTTCACAAGTCACCCCAAGGCGCTTTACATGGGTGTTTTGTGATACATTACAACATTATTAAGAGAGAATACAAAAACATGGAAATGATATAAAAAAAAAATGAAAGAAAGAAAGCCAGAAGAAATGGAAGAGAGGGGGAGGATATGTCTTTATGTGGTCCGATGCAAGGTCTCCGATTCCTCCAAGTCACCGGACCACCATGACCCACCGTTGTTACGCAAGTGTCAAGAACTGGACAATCTGAAAAGCAAGGAGGCCCCCATCCCAAGGTGATTGTACATCAATCAGAAATACATAATCTAAAATGGCAGCGAGTTGAAATACTGGCATGTAATGGAGAGGTTTTGTATACATGTTCTCTGATGTATGAGGTTCTTTAAAAATGGTTTAATACACTATGTAAACAGGTTCTGTGGAGGCCCACTGTTGATGTGGTGTTTACGCCCATCTGCTCTTTGGCTTATTTCAGAAACATCGGAATGCTTGTGAGCTCACTGCAGTTAAACAAAGTTCAGTGCAGACAGCCTGGATTCCTGACATCGTTGCCCCTGGTATTAGATGAACTTCATTCTGAAGCATAAAAGGGTATTTTGCTGTAGTGAGTTCCTGAGAAAGGTTTTCAATCAAACTGTCGTGAGAGTCTTCAGTTGGGACACCAAAGAGAACCATGTGACACAGGAAGTGGTGGAAGGATAGGGACTTTTTTTCAGGATACAGGAGGGAGTGGGATGTAATGAAACACAGCTGTTTCAAGGTCAGTTCAAGGGCAACACGGCAAAATAAAACAGGTGTCTAGTCATGGGAAGGGCTACAGATGTGTATGCAGCAGTCGAGTTGTAAAAATATTTCATGGGCCATTGTAGTAAAATACAATTTGCTGGGGGGGTGGGGTGGATGATCACACAGTTCAGATGAAATAGTTTCAGACAGGAGTTTGCCAGTTGAGTACCCCTGATGTAGACCTAGTTGGTAGATATGTCATTACATCAGTGTTTCCCAGTTCGGTCCTCAGGGACCCACAGACAGTCCACGTTTTTTAAGACGGAGGAAAAATCTGGCAGGGAGCTCGGAGGGAGCAAAAGCATGAAAACATGGACTGATTTTAGGTCCCCAAGGGCCAGATTGGGAAACACTGCTGCACATGATTGAAATTACACAAAATAATTAAGGAGGATATGAGGATGATGGTGTATATTTTCAAAGGGGATGGTTTTTGTAATTTTTTTGCCAATGGGGATAGTATCCACGTGCATCCTATGACAACTTGAGCCCATGTTCCAACTCCTTATACTTGTATGGGTTGCGGGGACCAAATTACGTATAACTGGTAATGCAGAATTAAATATGCATGTTACCTGATTTTTCTGATGGATGTCTGTGAGCTGTAGGTTTTATCACGTTACAGTCTAGGTATCAGAACTGAAGAACTGATTCTTATCATGGCTTCTGCCAGCTGACATATTACATTTGCTCTTAAAGAAAGCCCTGCGTGACCTTTTCTGCTTCGTTCCATAATATATCCTTTGGATTCGCATAAGAAGGGTGTTGGCTTCTAGCTCGCAGCTTTATTGAACTTCAGGGGGAAATTTTGATGTCCTGCAGCATTAGAAAAATATGTAACATATGTCGCAGCCCAATGCCCCGCCTCCCCCAAGAAAACTACAATTAACTTGAAAAACAGCTGATGTTTATAAGACGGGCAGGAGATAATGGTGCAGTAGAAAGCTACCTTGTAGGCATCCAAGGTGCCTAATTTAGGGCAACTGTACTGTGATGAGTCAGAGAGATGAATGTTTTACAAATGCTTCAGCCACCAGCCCTGCGTAACTCCCAGCTGAATGATGCCACAGCAGCCATTCTGCGTCAGTACGTTCTACACACAATAGCTAAGGTGCTGAAGCAGCAGGAGAGAATTCATCAGTTGGACATAGGGGATGATTTGGAAGCCAGATTTTAAATGGCCACAGTGGGCAACTTTAGCCAGGACATCAGGGTACACCCCATACTGTTTCAAAACATGGGTCTGTGTCCCATGACCTGGGTGGGGTTAGGAAACATGGGGACACCACTGAGCATCAGTATCCACAAAGGAACATCAGAATCACTCAGTCATGAATCTCATGGACATGAATTTGTGGATGAAGGTGCAGGTACCTCTGCTGGGAGCTGGAAGGGTTGAAAGGGTTGTTCGATGTTGCAGGTTCAATGGTAAAAAAACAAAACAAATGGTAAAAATTCCGCGGCTTTTGTTTCCTATGTATTTATGGCACACTCAAAGACATGCATTGTATCAGAACAACAATATCTGCTGCTGATAATAATAATAATAATAATAACGATAATAATAGCAACAACAACAATGTTGTATTATAAGATATCTTAAGTGACCCATGTCCCTTGAAAGAGCACTTTGTTCTCATTACACATAACACCAGTTGTGTTTGTATTACGGGGCTAAATCTGCAACTTAATAACGACGGCTGCAGGGAAAGCTGCTCTCACTCAAGGTGAAAGAAGATCTCACTTTTGTATTTAGAGGATTTATTTTGATGTGATGAACATACCAAAAAAATCACTGACAGGAGGAGAGACGATACCTTAGAGTGCCATGCCGATGTTTCCCAGAATTATTCCTTTGAAAGTAGCATTAATGATACTTAATCTGCAGCTAGAAAGTAACATAAAAGAGAATACGAGAAGTGGAAATCTTATTGGCTGCTAAAAATAGACTGCAATTATTAATAGGTGGATAAAGGCCATCTAGATACAATGGCTGTGTGTGTGTGGTTATATATCTATATCCAGATGTTGCCACAATGTGATTAAAACCTGTTGTTTTGATGTAGTGGGGACCATTTTTTCAGTCCCCACAAGGGGGAATTGAATTTTATGAACATCTGTGACTGCAATAAAAAAACTAAAAATTTCAGAAGTCTTGTATCTTGCTTGGTTACTTACGGTTAAGGGCTGGGTCAGGGTTAGGGTTGTCATTTTTGGGATTAGGGTTATGCCCATAGAAATGAATGGACATCCCCAGAAAGATATGGATACAAACGTGTGTGTTTGTGTTGATATGTGTATATATCAGTGTGTGGGACCGTCCAGTGCTTACAATCACATTTGTGGCAACCTGCCTGCTGCCCTGGGGAATCTTCTCCTCCTCTTCCTCCTCTGGCTCCACACCTCTCTGTTGTACAATCCATAGTTGTATTTACATGGGGTGTGGTAAAACACAGTAGGCCTGCTGCACCCAAACAGAGGAGCGGTCCCACTTCCTGGCAATCACCCCCCGCCTATGGGCATCGACAGCTGAACAGATGCATCATCCGTAATGGGACACTACATCGGCGCAGTTCACAGAATAAAACAAGTCTTTGTCTGGGCTGAAGTATTCATAATCAAACCTGCATCTGTCAGCCAGTCCACAGCATCCTCTATAAAAAAGGGATCCAGCTAATCGAGTAATAAGATTAGGGGGGCTATTGGCAGCTAGGTGAGCTGGGCTTTGCTCGTTGAGGACTGGGTTCCTCCCGAGACATGTGACGATAATACTTGAAACCTGAAACTTGAAACTTGAGCGACGAGGTGGGTGAGGTCACGGCTTGCCTTCATCCATGTATGACAGCTTACAGTCAGACGGGGAACGCAGACGATGCTGAGGATTTAAAAGCGTGAAGAATCCAGCCGTTTCCAGCTCTCGATTGTTTTTGTTCGCCAGTGCAATTGGATGACTGTTTAGGGCAGGGATTACGGGATAGGCGCGGCTGATGAGCGAATCCGGAGAGCCCTGAGAGAGCAAATCCGGAGAGCTCACACCGCGCAGAGTACCTGCGTTGCATCTGTGGCTCTGGGCCCTCCTCTTCCTCCTGCCCCACCTCCCCGTGCCCTCGATCAGGGATCAGGAGCTCAGGGGCTGATGCGACTCTGTCGACTCGCTCAGTGTCGTGGGAGCAGACCCCAGGATCAGAGGCGGGAGCAGACGCCGAGCCGGCCCAAGACTGTGCAGAGCCAGGCGCCATGGATCATGGGCAGGGCTCACGCCGAAGGGGTGAGTGGTACCTCCAGTGACCCACTTATCTTCCTTCATCCGACCACCCCGACATCACCTTCACCACCATTCTCATCAGGCCACGGAACCCCACCTGGCCCCACATGCCTCATGAAGGCTTCATTCTCCTCTTGGATGACCTCTGCGGACCCAGACGGGTCGTGGTCCTTTTTGGGGGAGTCATAAGGAGCACAAGCTGCCTGGCATTTTGTCATCGTCACACTCAGCCAGTACTCGGCACAGGTGCGGTCGTCAGCATGCACACCTGCTTTAGTTGCTTAGTGGTCACAAGTATCATAAATGTTCATTTATTGCTTTTGAACGGCGATCCCTAACCTCTTACCCAAACTCTCACCCGTGCAATCACAGCTTTTTCCATCCATGCCGTTTTCAATTTATTTTTTCCCCCCAAAATATATTATGCTTATGGTATGTAAAAGGAGTTTAATTCAGCTCCCTTAGTAGATTTAGAGATTGACATTGGAGCTGAGGGATACTTGCCTCGTGCCTACCGTTGTCTGACCTGTGGGTGGGGTTAGCTGCATGCCCCCAATTTGTTTAGGTGATGTTAAGTCACCTGGTGGCTGGGGTCAAGTGTTGAGTGTCACTGGTTTGATTATTTTCTGATTTGTAATGCAAATACTACATTGCTGTTTCATGTACAGTAAGATATAAAGTTAGCTGTGATTGCCACGTGGCCTTGTGAAATAAAGGAAAATGGCATGTATAAGTGATACAACACGGTTACTAAATTTATATTTGGTCACACTGCATCTGGTGCCATGGGGTATTTCCTTTGCATGTGGCATATTGGGAGTTTCATTCCAATGCTTATTTCTGGAGACTCCTGGCCTTTTCTCCCTTTACCCCTGTATAAGGGTGGTTTTCTCCTGGGACAGGTGCTGCAGTTCTATGTGGTTTGTGCTTCAGCAGATCCCCTTAAGGAAATCTGAACTATTTCCTGCTATAGTTTTAGTCTATGCATCCATTTTGGTCTGGATATTACTGTATTATATTTATAATATAAGGTGTTCTCTTGACACACAGGATTGGGGCTAATGTTATTTCACTGTTTAGATCACCTTAATTCCAGCATGAAATTCTAATTAGTGGGTTTATAAATCTCAGTCCATTTGTTTGTCGTTGCCTTTATTATATATTGTGCTAGATATCTAGAGATTATTTACTTCTACCTCTTACATGTATACAGCAATTATTTTCACTTATATACAATATTCAGGCTTGAATTATTGATCTTGACTGTTATGTGGTCATGAGTTTTATTTTATAGGAGTTCCTGAAGTAGTTATTAAAAGAGCTTTGCAAAATTGTGTTGAATTTCCCTTGGGATTTATCAGTCTTCGAGTCAGTTACTTAGTGTTTATGAATTATGAAATGCTCATCTTGATGATATGCGGAGGCCTTGCAGTCTAAAACTGGGCCTTAGAAAAAAATCAACGTTTTATTGATATTCCTACATCTGGTCGTGTATGATAACTTTTTTCAAGAAAAGGTAATCTGCAGGAGTCACATCAGCAATTCCACGGTTTAAGGCGCTTTTCATGATAGGCTCACAAAAACAATTATTTTTCCGTTTTAAATCATGGGTGGAACGATCAGGCTTTGTTCATAAAACTACTCCCTTAATGACATTCATGCAAAGCTTTGTGCTGCCCTGTGTTTGGTGGTTATAAACCAGCCATGTTTTCCTTACTGAAACTGAGGTGTGAAAGGGCCCTCTTGTTCTGAGAAAAATATAAATATTTTAAGCATTAGAATGCAAAACCTAACTGTCAGGAATGTGACCGATCATCACAGGTATTAAATAATGAAGACACTTATTATTTATTTATTATTTTATAAATAGCCCTGAAAAACAAAAACAAGGCAGAATTATGAGCCGTGATCCATGGTAGACTGTAGTCTTTGCATGCATGGAAGTGTTCATTGACTCTGGTGAGATGCTATTCAAGTGAGGTATGAATGTCGAGTCATAAGTATGTAATTTATTGCAGGATTAAATGTTGAATTACTGATGGATGCTTGATACCAAAAGGATTATTCATCTTGTGTGGAAGGTTAAATTTAAGTGACACAGAAGGAATGAATGGGGCGTTTTTGAAAAAACAAGGGGGGACAGCTTTAACAAGGGTCTTTATTCTGGCTTCTTACGAGCCTTACTGGGGACATGCCACTGGCTTCAAGTTCTGTATGTCTTTTGGGGGACAGGAGGAGATGGATTTTGGCACAAGCGTGGGTGGGAGAATGGAGCAAGAGCTGAAACGGGCTCTGGGTGATGGAAGGAGGCCTTGTGTGGACCTGGGAGTATGGGGGTGACGGGAAAGGAATACTATGAAGCAATGCCCTATACTTGTCGAGAGGGAGTCCGGCGAGTGAGCTGAGTGAGTGGGCTCCTCACCACATGACACCCAGCAACTCACCCCGCCTTACACTCAGACATAGTACATGGGCCGAATCACAGCAATTAACGTGCTCCGTTTGTGCAATGAGAAAATCCCAGTTATTAATCCCTCCATAATCCGATGCCCTTTTTTTTTAACCCATAACAGCACTGCTTTCCATCTGAATTTCTCAATGAAGATGTTTTGAAGTATGTCATGTCATACCATACTGTTATCATGTTGCTGTTATTGTTATTATGTCATATGTCAGATATACATACAGTATGTTCAGTGGTAGGACTGCAGGTGCTGTCAGAACATGTGCACCATGTTCCAACTTGAAGTGCTATTAGGGCAGAAATGTTATACTTGAGATTTTGTGTGTGTGTGTGTTGGTTATGTACATATTACATTGTGGGGACCAAATGTCTGGTTATTTTGATGTGGGGGATCATTTTTATAAACTCAATTTTATAAAAATCTGTAACTAATCAAAAAACTAAAAACGGCAGAAGTCTTGTATTTTGTTTGGTTACTTATGGTTATGGTTAAGGCTGGGAGGGGGTAAGATTGTCATTGTTGGGATTAGGGTTTTATCCACAGAAATGAACGGACGTCCCCACAGTGATATAAATACAAATGTGTGTCTGTCTTTCTGTCACCCTGGTGGGGGGGGGGG